CCCACCTGATTTATTTTAGATTGTTCGGCGGAGCTTCCTGTTTGAACCGGAGGAACTGCGCTGTAACATCCGCAGTTCGCCACTAGATGGCCACCGAGGACAGCTTCTGCATGTGGCGTTCGGCTGTGGTTCAGCAGCGACAGCATTACCGTGTAACGAGACTCCGCAAAGAATAGAAAAGGGACAAGTCAGAGGTAAAACTTAACACTGATCACTGAACTCTGCCCCTGCCACTGGCTCACACTGATGTTTTTTTTTAAAGTTGTATGTTATTTAACTTGTCGTTTGTTGCTGCCGCCGTTCTGTGTTGATGTTTTTGGTGATTCCTTTAATGTCTTTGAATTGGCGCGCACATGGAAAGAAGCGTTTCATTGCACTCGTGCAGACGCCAAATAAACTGAATTGAACTGAACTGAGCACCGGTGCAACTCGCAAAGCCTTTCATGGGAGAGATGTCGAGAACCAGAAAGAGGGCATTCGCTGGAGTGCTGCAGGTTGAAATAAACACAGCAGGGAGACGAGGAGATTCCGTGCAGAAAGTAGGGCTGGGCCATATATCGAAAATGTATCGATACCGACGTTAAGAATCTCTCACCGGCCTTATTTGCATATGTCGGTATGTTCGGTAAAAGTTTTCCCCCCTGTGCGCTTTCATGAGCGGTCCCCTTAAAAAAACTACAACACCCAGTCGTCATATCCAGTCACGTGCTTCTGCCTCGTCCAATCTCCGCTCTTCACTCAAAACACAAGGAAGCGTGCCGGGCGTGAGACGACAGGGTCGCTCGTGCTGAACCCCGGTCAGGCAGGGGTGACTCAACTATAAATGAAGACGAGCTGGTATCTAAAAAAGATGTAGTGTCGATCGTTTGGTCATATTTTGGCTTCGGCAGACCGGATACTGAACAAAGAGAAGTCAGATGTAAACTCTGAACGGAAAACCGTTTCTGCGCCCGAACGTAACACAATCAACTTGTTTCATCCCTTGAAACACAACCATGTCGTGAAATATCATTATCAATATCAATATCAAATGACCCAGATCATTTGGGTGAGTTCAGTGGGATAAGTTGATTGGGGTGAGTTAATTGGAGTGAATCAATCGAGCTACATTAAGTAGGGTGAGTTGGCTGAGGTGAGATAATTGAGATGAGTTAATCGGGGTGCGTTAAGTGGGGGTACAGTGTGGGACCTCTCTGGCTGAGCTCTTTGTTTGCCTCTTTAGCTCAATAACTAAGAATTTGCTTCATTTGGAAATTTGGAAAGTTTTTTTTGTTTTCTGCACAAAAGTTAGAGATGGTAGAGAACGTAGACGTTACTGTTGGCATCACCTGCTGTCCCTTCCAACATGATCAGGAATTGAAAACAATAGAAAGAGTGCCATTAATAGTTTGACTTTTTAATTCAGAAAAGACTGCTTTCTGCTTGGATTCACAGCAGCGCAAACCAAAACCATTCTCCAGCTATGGATAAGAGCTATATTGGATACTCACATTTCAATATTAATAAGGCAAATCCTAAAACACTCCAGTCTTTGCAAGAGATTTCCACAACTAATAGAAATAATGCTTGTAAGAATATATATAGTGTATTCTATAAAATAGTGTACTGTGTTTAAAATCGTAAGTACATATGTATGTGTATTACACTAGATTTAAATGAGAATCAGATAAAATTGGATGACAGTACTGGTGCTGTATTGTTGATGGTAGTGTTGACGTTTGTTCTCATTTGGTTTTCGTTTATTATTCTGGGTTTGAAAACGATCCTGTGGGAACCCCACCTCATTCATCTGGATTGTCCTGGATCTCTCCAGGTCCTGGGGTGTCAGGGCGGGTTTTGGGGGGATCTGGAAGCCGATGTATTGGGAGGGCCATTGCCGTTGGCGCCAGGCCAGAAACATGGAATCCTGGGAAGAGGGACTCTGGGGTCTTCTGTTGGGGAGGGGGGGAGGGCGCTCGCGCTGCCCTGACACTTTCCTGTTGGAGTCTACTGCTGGCAGTTCTGTCGTTCTTCCTTCGCGCTGTCAGGCTTCGGCTGGGTTTCTCTGCTCCTTTCCTGTCTGCCCGTATCATGGCTGATCTCTCCTCGGCTCACTCAGTCCTGCTTCTCTCTCTTCGCTTGGGGGAATCAACTAACGAGCAAAACCTAACAATTAATCACTGTGTGCATGAGAGTGTGTGCTTGATTGTGAGAGTGTGTGTGCGAGTATGTGTGCGAGTGTGTGTGCTTGATTGTGAGAGTGTGTGTGCGAGTATGTGTGCGAGTGTGTGCTTGATTGTGAGAGTGTGTGTGCGAGTATGTGTGAGAGTGTGTGCTTGATTGTGAGAGTGTATGTGTGAGACTGTGCGCTTGATTGTGAATGTGTGTGTATATGCACGTGGGTGTGTGAGAGTGAGGGAGTGTTTGTGTGAGTGAGTGTGCGCGTATGTGACCGTGTCAATGTGTGTGAGAGTGAGTAAGTGTGTGTGAGGTCGTGAGAGCGTATGTGAGAGTGAGTGTGTGTGAGTTTGTGTGTTTCAGTGTGTGTGTGAGAGTGAGTAAGTGTGAGAGTGTCAGTGCACGTGAGAGTATGTGTGTGTGTGAGAGTGAGTACAGTAAGTGTGTGAGAGAGTGAATAAGTGTGTGTGTCAGTGTGTGAGAGTGAATAAGTGTGAAGGTGTCTGTGCGTGTGAGAGTAAGTGTGTGAGAGAGTGAATAAGTGTGAGAGTGTCAGTGCATGTGAGAGTGAGTACAGCAAGTGTGTGAGAGAGTGAATAAGTGTGTGTGAGATTAAGTGTGTGTGAGAGAGCGAATAAGTGTGTGTATGAGAGTGTCAGTGTGTGAGAGTCAGTGAATTCTTCAGGAAGTGGAGCCCAGCTTTTCCGCGAGCTTGTCCAGCTCGTCCAGCTCGTCCAGTCCCGAGTCCAGCTCGGAGGCCACGCTGTGGATCTGGGTGGGCAGGTTCACTTTGGAGCCCTTCTTCATCTTGTTGGGGTTCTTGCTGGAGAAGCAGCTCTCCATGCTCCTGGAGAAGCTGCTCAGTTTGCCATCGGCCACGCCGGCGATCTGCACCCCCCGGGCCACGCGGCCGGCCGCCATCATGTTCTGCTGCGCCCGCATCACGTCCTTCGGCCGCGCCGCGCCCCCCAGCCGGGCCAGGTCCACCTTCTCCAGCTTCTTCATCGCCCCCTGGAGGAACTGCAGGGCGCTGCTGACCTCCGCCATGTCCCGGCGGAACTGCGCCACCACCGCCTCCACCTTGCGCCGGTCCTCGGCCGACAGGACCGCCCTGGAGATGGCCGCCGAGGCGCCCGTCACCCCGCCGGCCGCCGC